CATCCATCCTTTTTTCCCCCCCATCTCCCCCATCTTCCCCTACTACCCATTCAGCATCCGATTCGGGTAGGGTGGCCCTTATTTAACATTCCTGGCTATTGTCCCCCTACCACCTCCAACATCCCTCTGACAGTTTCATCTATTGTTGGAGAATTACTGAGGGAGTCAGATCGGGTGTTCCTGACTTTGGGGGCAAGCCTCACTCTCTCGTTGCTTTCTCTCCATCACATTTCCCGCACGATCTATCCAGTGCAGTGCAGCAGAGTGCGTTCAGCCCATCCCCATCGATCTTTTTTATTTTTTTTCCCTCTCTCTTCTCCCTTCCTTTGGGGTGTGGATTTGCGGAAGAGCAGGGAAAAAAAGACCAGACCAGACCCGACCCGACTAAGCGGTCGCGGTGTTGCCGGCTTTTCTCTCTGCGTGCCGTTTTGGCGGGCGTGCCTTTCCCTTTCCCTTTCTTCCTTTTCCCCCCCAGCAGCAACAAGCAGCAATAAGCAGCAGCCGCAGCAGCAGCACCACCACCCAAAGAGTGAGATTCCTTTGGTGTTCCTCCTCCTGGACCACCTCCTGCTACTTGCTCGTTCCTCGTTTTCCCTCCTTTCCCCCTCACTCCTCCCATCCTCTTCTCTCCCTCCCTCTCTCTCTGTTCGGCCGTCAAAAAGCCTTGGGCACTGCTTATCCATCCCAGGTAGTGGCAGCTCGTTTCCTTTTCCCTTTTTGCCCTTTTCCCCTTATCTTCCTCTACCCGTGTTAAAGCTCCGTTTATTTTCCTTTGCTGCCTTCTCTTGTTCTTCAATTTTTCCCGCACCCCATTTTCTTTTTCCCGAGTTCTCCCTTCCCTGCCCTCTTCTGATGCCCCCAGGGGGTTTGAGAAGCGAAAGACAAACATAACAAAAAAAAGAAAAAAACGAAAAAAAAAATTCAGTTCCTAACATTTTCGTGCTAAAGGATACGACGGCCATTGATGACCCAATAGTCACGAGAGAATTATTTCAGCAGCTGTGAGCGATTTTGCTTGTTTTTCTTCGGTTTTTGTCGCTTCCACCGCGCTTTTCCTCTCCGCAATTACCAACGATCGGTCACTCCCTCCCACCCCTCGGAAAGTTGACCTGTTTTGCTACGATCCGCTCGACCTTGCAAATACCCTCGAACAAGCGTGGTTTGAGTTCCTCTTCTCCGCTAGTATCAAGCGCCTGCCCGGTCGCTCCTATGTTTGAGTAGTTCCGCCTGACACAACAGTTGCGATCTCATTGAACGAACGGGTTTTGTTGTGTGGTGGATCTCAGTGCCCACATTCCTCGGTTTGGTTGCTTCTAGGGACTCTGCAATCTTTTCGCCGCCATGAGCTATCAACAAGCCCAGGACATGTACCACGATAACTCCGCGGCGCGTTCTCCTGGCTCCCAACGCCATCAGCAGCCGCTGCACCGTCAACCTTCTCGTCAGTTTGACGCGTACGGCCCTATGCCTGTGAACCTGTATGACGACATGGCTCGTTACGACACCGGTCGGCTGGAGCGCCTGAATTCGTCGCTGCACAACAACTCTTACGCCTACGATCTTGCGGGCTCCCAGACCTGGAATCCCAACGGCTTTGCCAATGCGCAAGCTCTTGGGGGCATTCGGTCGGCTTCGACCAGCCTCAAGACTACTTCGCGCACTGGCAGGGCGGGCTTGCCGACGGTACGTATTCAATTGAGTGGGTGGAATAAAATTGATGGAACCTATCGTTGCTGACTGACGAGTAGACATGGCTTGATCAGCAGCCTGGCATTCCCAGCGCCTTCTCCAACCTCGGCCCCGGTCCCCTCCAAAGCAGCGCGATGCGCCCGGAAGCCTCTGGTCCGTCGGAAGCGGAGGATGAGTTGATTCCCACCGCCATTGTCATCAAGAACATTCCTTTTGCGGTGAAGAAGGAGCAGCTGGTGCAGCTTATGACTGAGCTCAACTTGCCGTTGCCTTACGCCTTCAACTATCACTTCGACAACGGCGTCTTCCGGGGATTGGCTTTCGCCAACTTCACATCTGCGGAGGAGACTGCAACCGTCATCGAGGTCCTCAATCATTTCGAGCTCCAGGGTCGCAAACTGCGGGTTGAATACAAGAAGATGCTGCCGCTGCAGGAGCGGGAGCGGATTGAACGTGAGAAGCGCGAGCGTCGTGGTCAGCTGGAAGAGCAGCATCGCCCCATGGCGACCTCGCAACTTCAGACTCAGAGTTCCATGTCGTCTCTCACCTCGCACCTTCCCGCAACCTCCCCGTCTCCCGTCTCCCAGCGTGGCCAAAAGTTGGGTAGGTGTCTTGACTTCCTTGTGCTCTTTTATGGCAAGTCGCTAACCCATGCCGCGTATCTACAGAGGTCGATCTCAACGATAGCACAACGCTTTCGTACTACTCTCAGCTTCTCCTCTTCAAGGAGGATACGGCGCGTGACACCCTCGTGTTCCCGTCCAACCTTTCTCCTGTCCAGCGCCGCACCGTTCATACACTTGCTCACAACATGGGCCTAGGCCATGCGTCTCGGGGATCGGGTGATCAGCGGCAGGTGCATGTTTTCAAGGTCGCTCCCGGCACCAATGTTAGCCCTCCCCTGTCGTCCATCCCTGCCGCTGTCCAACCAGCGGAGACAGCTCGTCGTGGACTGAACCGCGCCGCAACCATTGATTTCAGTGAGTCTCGTAACGACGGACCCACTCATTTTAACACTTTGCGCGGCCAGCCTTCTTCGGGCTTCCTGGGAGTCTTGGACTCCCCCGGCAACTTTGGCAACACGCAGAACCTTCGAGCCGCCAAGTCGTTTGCAGACCTTCGCTCCTACACTCCATCCCCCGTCCCCTCTTCGGCCAGCTTCCCTGCAGCCCTGCAGTCTAACGGAGCGCGCCTGCAACACTACGATGGTGCCACGAGCGGCACTTCCAACACCCCGACGCTTACGTCCGCGCCATCCGGTTCCTCCCTCGGTATGCAGCGCGACGACAGTCTGTTGGTGAACAGCCTCAGTAGCCTCTCTCTGGGCACTGGAATCGGTGGGCCGAATGCGAGCCCGAGGAGATTGCGGGGTATGTTCTCTTGGGAGCAGCCAGAAAGTCAGCCCTCTAGCGCTGGTCCCATCGGTAGTAACCGATCCATCGGAGTTGGATTTGACGGTCAGTCACAGGAGCGCATGCCCATTAGGCAGCCGAGAGGCCCGATGCCCGAGAAAGGTCCAGGATTTCGACGCCAGAACGGACACCAATCGCGCGGAAGCGACGAGTTACGCACCAGCTCTGGTGTAGAGATTATTGTGGAGTAAACACTTTGATGGGAAGACGAAGACGACGAAACTTGTTAGATTGCTTTGCCGCAAGATGCATACGACTCTTATATCACGAGGCCTGATCCTGTTCTGCGATTATTGGCTTACGATTCGATGAGGGATGACGAGATGACACTCAACCGAGAGAACCAAAAGAATATTTCTCTGATCTAGCCAAGTTTAGACGTTATTTTGGGGCAGCCCAGCAGGCACGCTGTTTGAACGCAACCTTTTTATGCTTTTCTCCTTGTTTCGCGGAAAATAAACACCTCCCCAAAAAGAAAGCTGTGGACTTTTTGAGACGCGGGCGCCTTGCATGCAGGAACATTTTTTTTTTTTTTACCTATATTTTTTCTTTTACTTTTACTTTACCTTCTACAAATTGTGTCGGCGGAAAGCAATATAAAACCAATCATCAACACCTGGATGGCTACGAAGGACGACAACAAAACGGGATCCGGATGTCTTTGTGTGCCCATGGCAAGAGAAATGACTCACCAGCATTTGCATTTAACCTTTACTTATCTCCTTCTATCTACTTGTTTGTCACTTTGTATATGGGGCAATTTGCATCATTTAATGTTTTTATTTCTTTGTCAGACGTGTCCAATGTGCTTTGTTCTCTCATCTCCTCTAATCGTGTTTTTTTATGGAACCCCTGTGATAGTGGGGAGTGGAGGAAATGAACGGAACGTTGTCGGCATACCACACACACGTATGCAATGTGGCTGTTGCCGAGGACGAGCCATTCATTCTCTTGCGATTTTTATTTCCCTGACCTGCAGGTGTAATTCAAAAACTTGATGACTTGCATGGCGTGCGTTAGGGGAGACACGGGTGGCGAATCGAAATGGGCGGATATTTGCATTCTTTGCAGCTTCTTGAAGGGGAGAGTTTGGCTTGTGGGTATTTCCTAGGGATGAGAATGTCCAGGCAACTATCTAGGTGGACAAATGACAACTTCTTGCAAAATTGTCCGACTGGATGACGTCTCGTGATTTATCCCTTTTCCGACGGCGGTCTGGCCGGATTATATTTCCCTTGATTTGGCATTGGACCATTAGGTGTGCTCCTCATCCTCTTCCCTTATCTGCTGCTCTCTCTCTCTCTCTCCCTTGCCATCTAGATCGCCATACTACTTACTACTACTAGCTGTTGTTTTCTGTATTTATATGTTGGCTCTCCATCCTTCTCTCTCACACACTCTCCTTCAGAACCCCCACAGAACTTGATTGATCCGTTTACTACCTTCAGTTTGTTTCATCATGGTCGCTTCGGGACTTAGACTGTAGTATATAGTACTAGGTATAGAGACGTCATTCAGCTGCTCAATTGCATCATTCCGGTTTAAGTAGTACTACTAGTAAGTAATTATTAGTGTTTCGATATATGTATGTAGATCGCATTGAAATTACTACTAAAGCAACGTGATAGATAATATGATATCAGGCTTCGAACATATACGTACGATAATACTAATGTTTATTTCCATACAAGCGGGTTCAAGTAATGTTACTGAAGGTAGTAAGATCTACTCACACCATACTCATGTAGTACGACTCCTATAAACCCCATCCACTCACCCATTCACTTAATATATCACCAGGGCATGGATGAACAGGTCACAATAGAAAGAAGATAAGAGGAAAGGAGGTGAAGAAAAAGGTAGACTCGTACAGACCCGTTAATATTAAGAGAAGACACAAGAGTACAGAAACAAAAGGGGTAAAATGAAAGAAAAAAAAATCATGGAAATAATAATAACTTTCCCACTACCGAAACATATCCCCTTTTTCCCATTACAGCGCCCTTGGAAAATTTGACATGAAACACGGAATACACAAAAGACATCAAGCTGTCAGGGGAGATAAATAATAATGATAAAATAAAAGATGGGGGGAAGCAAGGAAGAACTTGGAAAAAATCATCTCGAGCTTCGCAGCGTCACGAGAATAGAAGGTGGGCTTTTTTTGTTCGTCAGAAGGACATGACCTTGCCTCCCTGTTCGGGTGTGGTTTTGCAGAGGGGTGGAGGTAGCATCATGATCACAGTAAAGAACCCGTTCCTAGCTTTTCCCCTTTAACGATCATTCAATCACCAAACGCCGGAGTTCGTCGGGTATCCACCATCATTTAAGCCTCAGTCTTGTTCTTCTTCTTTTGCTCCACCTTCAGCAAGAGCGCGCGGTTGATGCGCGGCAGAACACCTCCGAAGGCAATAGTGGCGCGGATCAGGGTATCCAGCTCCTCATCTCCACGGATGGCGAGCTGCAGATGACGCGGGGTGATACGCTTGACTTTGAGATCCTTGGCAGCGTTTCCGGCCAATTCGAGAACTTCTGCGGTCAGATATTCGAGAACAGCGGTGACATACACGGCGGCTGCGATCGGGATTTGTCAGCATGGTTGAAAGAGGAGACAAAGGAAGGTGCGCCTTCTGTAGGCTTAATGGAAAGGGTCGTACCTTTGGCGCCAACGCGCATCTTGTTCTGGGTGTTGTTCTTCAAAAAGCGCTTAACACGACCGCAAGGGAACTGTGATCGAAGGATAATGTTAGCGAATGAAACTGATGATAATAGATAGGCATGAATGTGTGAAGTGAAGCTTTGAAGGTAAATACGGGAGGGATCATGACCGCCACCCCTCGCAACCCTGTCGCCTGAACTGTGACTAGCCGGTGCGGTATAGCTCTTAAAGGGGTATTATTCAATATAAAAGAGCTATACGCGTGCTTTTGGCAACATAGAGGCGATCGCGAGGGGCAAAGGAGGCAAAAAGCAAAATCCCAGGCCGTAACGGCTTCAGCGGCATGTCGCCGCCAGAACCCATGAGATGGGTCAAGCGTCATATGCCTGCCAGGAGGAGAAAAAAAGAACGACTAATACGGACCTGCAGACCAGCCTTTGCGCTGTGGGACTTCTGGCTCTTCCCCGCAGAGTCCTTGGAGCCGGCCTTTCCACCGATAGACTTTCCCTTTCCACCAGGCATTTTGTAAGATCGTCGAGAGTTGGGGCCGCAGGGGCAAAAATGTCGCGTCAGCCGAGGATTAGAAGTGGTAGAGCGTGATGGTGGATGTTGGCGCGATCCGATGCAGCACAAGCACGCGCGTTGTTGATGGATGAAGGAGTCAGAAATGTCAGAGCCATCCTGGTCGCTAAAGACGGGCGTTGACCGTGAAGCGGCGCTAGTCCGCTTTGGGAAACCTGCTCAGCTCCCAACCACGGAGATGTCATAACGGGCGAGGTCGTTGTTGGTCGCCGTTGCAGAGGCAGCGATGGACAAGATTCGAATCCTTGTCTCTTGCCATGATCCAGAAAAGCATTTCAGCCAAAGCACTGGTGATCCGGCTTCATCGGGCGCATGGGGCTGGGGCTGGGCGTCCACGCCATTGCTGGGTAGAGTCACTCAGTAGTCGAATCCCCAAATGCCCGACACACCACACTGGTAAGCAGATTTAATTGCTTCATTATACTTGCACCAGTAGGCCTAAACCATGGAAAGGGGACAGAGAGGCCTTTAAACCGTAACGTGGGGGGCTTGCACACGTTCGTAGCGATATCAAAGAGGTTGGCAGGAGAGTGTGCAGACCATGATAGTTGCTCAGCGGATTATCTAAGCAACCAGGTGATCTGTGCCTTTGGCCTTGTCCGGGGGACTGTCTGCCTAAGGCTGCACTAGCCCTTGACCTGCCCATTCAGGTAATAAATCTGCGTATCCCGTCTTATCGCTGCTATCTTCCATCACGCCTTACACTGATACGGCTAGGCCGAGGTAGGTAAAGAATAAGCACGTGACCCTCACTATCTGGACAGCTGTCCGACTTCCCCGGGGCTCCAGTTCCGCAGTTCGAGGAAGTTTCTGTCCTTGCGCACGCATTCCCCATCCTCCCCAGTTTCACCTTATCGTGTGCTGCTCCTCACTTTCCAAGGCTCCCTGGTCTCAGTACTACCGGCAAGATGGTGTCTCCTCAAGTGTAAGTCAATCCTGCGTTATTCCTGCGCGTGACATGCACAACCGTGGTCTGCTGTCTCGTGATGCTACTCGAGGAATAAAAACTGATTTGTCGTCTGTCTTGCAGTACCAACCTGGCCATCATCGTGGTGATGATGCAGCTAGCGAAGAAGGTTCCCTTCGAGGACCCCGATGTCCTTATGCTTGTCCGTGGCATGTACATCCTGTCCAACGTGATCATTCTGGGAGTGTACTTGTACACTCAGTCGAAGATCAACAAAAAGAATGGTATGCTTCGTGTCCTTGCTTTCTTTAAGCTACGGTCCTCTAATAATCTGTGATCAGATCTGACTACCCTGAAATACGTGGAGCCTTCTCCTATGGGCAGCGGCGAGGAGCCCAAGCCCGTCACCACTACCAACATGGAGTACGACAAGGGACAGCTGCGCCAGCTGATGAGGAGCCAGCTGATGGGTGTGGGTATGATGGGTGTGATGCACCTGTACTTTAAGTACACCAACCCCCTCCTGATCCAGTCCATCATTCCTCTCAAGGGTGCCTTCGAGTCGAACCTGGTCAAGATCCACGTCTTTGGCAAGCCTGCGACCGGTGACCTTCAGCGCCCCTTCAAGGCCAACAACAGCTTCCTGAACCAGGGCCAGATCAAGAGCGACAAGGCCTCCGTTGAGAACGCTGAGAAGAACTGGAGGGGCGGTGTCAAGGAGGAGTAAGTTGACAGAACCTGGGGAAGGAGCGCGAGGGTTATTGCTAGGCCTTGCCTCCAATGTATTTATAGATGCGGTTTCAATGGAGTGAGCGCGAATCCGCTATGGATTCGCGCGGTTCTGGCTTCACACTAGCTTCTTGGCTGCTGTGATGGGAGACTTTATGACTATGCATGTCGTCGATATCGTTCGCAATGACCTCTTACTATCAATATAATAGAACCACGTCAGTGGTGACCTCATGTCCTATAATCACCCATGCAGCAGCATGACTCAGGAGGCGAATAGATAATTTTGAAATCCCTACTGATACGGCTTCCCAACGAGGTAGGAGCGGAAAGGATGATGAGTGGCCAAGTACCTGCCGATGCTTTGTTGTCTCACGACTTGAGTCTCCTGATATACCAACATCGGTGGCCGGTGAAGACAATGAAGACATATTTCTAAGCAATATGGGCTGTGGCCACTCCGTGCCACTTGCTCGAAGTAACCTGTTGCATTTACCCCATGTAAGGCTGGAGGCTGGATGGGGCCACTTTGCAGCAGTATGTAGAAAGTACTAGAACCATCTTCCGGTCTCCGAGACACTGGTCAATATTGACACGGCAGCATGATCATGAAACCCGAGTCAGACCAGAGCCGTTCGGATTGTGCTATACCCCAAGTCACGTTGTCCATAATTGAATAAATATGAGCAGTCCTTTGTGGCGTGGAAACATACTTAGCATGTAGAGACAAACCTTGGTGCGCGGCTTCAGGCGGGCATAGTTAGTATGCTACGGTACCACCGATCTTATTGTACCAGAAAAAGTCCCAGCCAGTCCAATCCCCATTCTAAGCCACATGCATCCGTTCGCATGCATCTGACATATCAGATTCGTCCATCTGGTGCAGTATCTAACAGAGGCCAGAGCATCACCAACATGGGTACCCTCAGCAATAATATGCATGCATTGTGCCCCCCCTATGGAGCCGTAGCTTTCAAGCAATTAGACACGCGCCCGGCCGAATGAGATGAACCGTTGGAGCCATCATCCCACTCATCCCGCTCCAGAAAGGAGAGAAAGAAAAAAAAAAAATATGACCGAGCGCGTGATGACCGGTGAGGACTCCGGTGAATTGATTTGGGTGACGGGAGAGACCCAAGAGGGGCCAGAATAATAAGAATGGGGAAGGCGAAGGTACCGCCTTTGGGGTCCAGCCACGCGACTCCAACATGGAGGGGCACTGGACTAACATTATTCCAGCACCGGGATCACGGGCCGAAAGCGGCAAGGCCGCGCACTGCCCCTCTTTTTGGGTGAAAGAGCTGGCAGTAACTTAACTGTACTTTCTGGAGTGAATAATACTACTACTATGAAAGACCGCGATGGGCCGATAGTAGTAGTTACTTCCATTACATCATCTCATCCGCCCGGTTCCTCGCCTCCGCGGCAGTCTACGGGTAGGATCGTAGCAAAAACCCGGGGGATAGACCCGTCGTCCCGAGCTGGAGTTCCGTATAACCTAGGTAGAAGGTATCAATTGAACCCGAACAACTGGCAAAACATTCTCGAGATCGTAGGAGTGAGTACCCGGCGTGATGGAGGGGGAGCACGCTCATTGGTCCGTACGGCAGCTGCCGAGGGGGAGCAGGAGATCCAAATATCGTGAGTCTCCTGCTTTGCCCGGTGTATGAAACCGGAAAGGACTGCTGGGGAACTGGGGAGCGGCGCAAGCCGGGAATCCCAGCTGACAATTGACCCATCCTCATGCCGTGGCAGAGCTTGAGGTAGCTTTTGCCCCGTCTGTCTCCCCGGTGTGCGCATTCGACTGGGCGCGGCATCTGTGCCTCCTCCAGGAGCGGAGGACCCAGTAGTAAGTAGGCCTGACCTGGTCGTTGCGTCAGTCCAGAGGTTCCCTCCCCTACCCTTTTTCTACTTCCCCTCCCCCGCCGCTCAACTTTTCTTTCCCTTTTACTTTCTCTCTCTCTTCCTCTTCATCCATCCTCTCTTCATCACTTCCCTCTTCCCTTCATCCAATTCATCTTCCAAGTGAGTCTTCCTCCCCATCTGTCCCTCCATCTTTCCCATCATCATCTCCCCTCCCAGCTCCTCCCCTCCTCTCGTCTCCTCACGAAGCTTGACTAACCATTACCCCGCCACATAGACACATCTAAACAATGGCTCCCAAGGTACGCCAACTACCAGGCGCGGTTCAGCTATCTACCAGCCTGATGATCTCGTATACTCACATCAATGCTATTTAGGTCGGTATCAACGGCTTCGGTCGTATCGGACGTATCGTAAGTTGCTCTTCCCGCATTACTGCTTTCAGTTGGTAGAGACTAACTCGGGTGTACAGGTCTTCCGTAACGCGTGAGTGCTGTCCTTCACCCGTAACTTGACGGGCCCACCCGGGGCCCATGGAGTCAAACCGACATTGCGAGAATGTTATACTGACATGTTTGGCTACACAGCATCAACCACGGCGAGGTTGACGTCGTTGCTGTCAACGACCCCTTCATCGAGACCCACTATGCTGTACGTTCTGCCCTCATGCATTGTCTGCTACAGATCAACCAGAAGCAAGTGGCTAACGGAGTGAATCTGCAATAGGCCTACATGCTCAAGTACGACAGCACCCACGGCCAGTTCAAGGGCACCATCGAGACCTACGAGGAGGGTCTGATTGTCAACGGCAAGAAGATCCGCTTCTTCGCTGAGCGTGACCCCGCTGCCATCCCCTGGGGCACCACCGGCGCTGACTACATCGTCGAGTCCACTGGTGTCTTCACCACCCAGGAGAAGGCCGCCGCTCACTTGAAGGGTGGTGCCAAGAAGGTCGTCATCTCTGCTCCTTCCGCTGATGCCCCCATGTTCGTCATGGGTGTCAACAACACCTCCTACACCAAGGACATCAACGTCCTCTCCAACGCTTCTTGCACCACCAACTGCCTTGCTCCCCTCGCCAAGGTCATCAACGACAAGTTCGGCATCGTTGAGGGTCTCATGACCACCGTCCACTCCTACACCGCTACCCAGAAGGTCGTCGATGCCCCCTCCAGCAAGGACTGGCGTGGTGGCCGTACTGCGGCCCAGAACATCATCCCCTCTTCCACCGGTGCTGCCAAGGCTGTCGGCAAGGTCATCCCTACCCTTAACGGCAAGCTCACCGGTATGGCCATGCGTGTCCCCACCTCCAACGTCTCCGTTGTCGACTTGACCTGCCGCCTCGAGAAGGCCACCAGCTACGACGAGATCAAGAAGGCCCTCAAGGACGCTTCCGAGAACGAGCTCAAGGGTGAGTTTCCCAAGATGAAATGACACCGTCTGGCTTGACCACTAATCTCTTCCCAGGCATCCTCGGCTACACTGAGGACGACATCGTCTCCTCCGACCTGAACGGTGACGACCACTCCTCCATCTTCGATGCCAAGGCCGGTATCGCCCTTAACTCCAACTTCGTCAAGCTCGTCTCCTGGTACGACAACGAGTGGGGTTACTCCCGCCGTGTCGTCGACCTCATTGGTAAGAACCTCCTATTCTCCTATAAGAAATTGGTGACATCTCACTAACCTCTCTTTTAGCCTACATCTCCAAGGTTGATGCCCAGTAGGAATCAGGACGGCAAACTGAATTCAGAAGTGTGCTGTGAGTGAGACTGATTGCCGAGCGCAGACGACTCTCGTGGAACCCGGCTTGTGGAGAAGCTTGAGAAGGTCTTAACTCCTAGCGTAAAAGCTCATGATGACGTACAATTTAATGAAATGATACAATGTTCATATTTCCCGTTCAAATTTCCGGCCTTGGTCAGTGCGTAAGATGTCCACGATTGAATACTAACTCAGTATGGGTTTGGTAGCATTGGCAATGTAGTTATAAGCATGCACCGGTTGAAGACGTCGGCCCCAGATGCAATGCTGCGGTGGTGACTAAGCTCTGCAGTGAATGGAATGCGTTTCTTTGATCGACTTCGGCGTGCCGCGGGATTTTCTCGGCGCTTCTACTGGTGCAGAAAGGACGATACCACTGGCTTTCGGTCCATGCCACATCCCAGTCTCCCGGGAAATTCATTGCATACTTTAAGAAACAAACTGATCTCCATAATTTCCGTCTTTAGAGTTCACTTGGTACTTTTGGGTGGATCGAGGGGTGTCCGCGGCCATCCAAGTCACGTGGAGGGCAGCTAGACCACGGATTTTAGAGCTACATTGATCCAAGACTCCTGGACCAGATCTCCTCTGCTGGTGTGCGCGTTGCGGTGACTACCGTACCAACAGCCGCCCGTGGCCTTTTAGACTTGGCCTGAAGTTGTATTTTGCGGCACTTTCACTTGCTTCTGATACGGCCTGGTTTTCCTTGCATTGGTCGTTGTCGCGGCTGAGCCTCTGAGCTTCGGACCTAGTACTATCTACTAGTTCCCTTGTTTTGTGCTCTCGCAACTCTCCATACAGCGACCTCGGTTCTGCTTGTGTGCTGGCTCGCAAGGCTCCAACCCCTACCATCTTAGTCTAATCTCTTACTTATCCCTCACTTGTCTGCCACCTGTTCCTTGGGTCATCTGCAGTCGTCGTATTCCGGGTGTTTCTTTGAGGGAACTCCACCGTTTGTTGAACATTATCTGACCCTAATCTGCGCATTTGACCATGACATTTGCGCGCTGATAGATTATCAGTCAGGAAGAAATTAGGCGCACTTTCACACTTAATCTCTATGGCAATGGATGAGGACGAAGACACCGTCATGGGAGAGGCAGGCTCCCACCACCCCACCTCTGTTTCTTCACATCAATGGCCAAGCAATGGACCCAGTAGCCAAGGTGCTGGCCAGCTCAATGGTAGTTCGGATCCATCTATTGCACCGCCACTGCTGGGTCCGACCATGAAGCTGCCGTTATCTGTACACTCGGGAGACCCAAGGCCTGAGAACACAGCATCGGCAGAAGATCAGGGAGTGTCGCCACCGAAAAGCCTCCCTAAGTCAGACTCCGGTGACGCAACTACTGAAGACTTTGACAAGCAAGATAGCCTTGTCGAAGACAACTCGGACTGGACTGATGAGGATACTGTAGCCCGCACTGGGCTTCCCATCGCCTCACTCCCTTCGGGGTTATGCTATGACGTTCAGATGCGCTATCACTGTGAAGTGCGGCCAACAGCGGACGTTCATCCAGAGGATCCCAGACGCATCTACTACATTTACAAGGAACTTTGTCGAGCAGGACTAGTCGATGATCCCGAATCGTGCCGTCCGCTTGTCTCAAGACCACTGAAGCGCATCAACGCTCGCAACGCTACTGAAGCGGAGATATCGCTTATTCATACGCCTGACCATTTTGCATTTGTAGAAAGCACCAAAGGTAGAACTATGTTCATTGTCTTTCAAGTTTCGATATTCTAACGGATGACAGACATGTCTGATGATGAGCTGATTGCATTGGAACACACACGTGACTCGATATACTTTAATAAATTGACGTTTGCATCTTCGATTCTGTCAGTTGGAGGCGCGATTGAGACATGCTTGGCTGTCGCAACCCGGAAGGTGAAGAATGCCATTGCAGTCATCCGGCCTCCGGGGCATCATGCAGAGCACGACAAAACCATGGGATTTTGTCTGTTTAACAATGTCTCTGTAGCGGCGCGTGTTTGCCAGAACCGACTAGGTGACAGCTGCAGAAAGATTTTAATTCTCGACTGGTATGCTAGGCCCTCTAGACTTCGATTTGCAGAGATACTGACCGACTAGGGATGTCCATCACGGTAATTAGGGGCCCTGACAAGAAGAGAACGAAAGCGTCTGACTCGGTTTTCTAGGGAATGGTATTCAGAAAGCCTTCTATGATGATCCCAATATCCTATACATCTCACTGCACGTGTATCAGGATGGGAAATTCTACCCTGGAGGGGAAGAAGGTGACTGGGATCACTGTGGTGAAGGCCCTGGTGTCGGAAGGTATGATTTGCAGTTCTCTGTTTGGAAGCTTCTAACAAGTTTAGAAATGTGAATATACCTTGGCCGAGCCAAGGGATGGGCGATGGTGACTATATGTATGCCTTTCAACAAGTTGTCATGCCAATTGCCCACGAATTTAACCCGGATCTTGTCATCGGTACGCAACACTTCAATTAGCGGACGTGTTCATCTCTAACCAATGTGAACCAGTTGCCTCTGGGTTTGATGCGGCTGCAGGCGATGAGCTTGGAGGATGTTTCGTTACACCTTCGTGCTACGCTCACATGACACACATGCTCATGACGCTTGCCAATGGCAAGGTTGCTGTTTGTCTCGAAGTATGCACATGCGGTAACAATTGAGGATTGTAGGCTAATGATATAATAGGGTGGTTATAACTTCAGGTCTATCTCCAAGTCAGCACTCGCAGTCACAAAGACACTGATGGGGGACCCGCCGGACCGGCTTCATACCACCTCACCTTCAGCCCTGGCCACCACGACTGTCCGGCGTGTGATGATGATTCAGTCTCACTATTGGCATTGCATGTATCCTAAGGGGCCTCCCCAAGATGGGCTCTTCACCGATAGGCTTCATGGTAGGTTGTCGCTCTCTACATCCGGCAATGCTAACCTCTGCAGATGTCATACGCGCCTACCAGTCGAAGCAACTATACGACAACTACAAGCTCACATCTCTCTTCATATATCGGACCGCCATCTCCCGGTCATTCGAAAATCAGGTTCTAGCAAGGTAAGTAGAATCGCAATGATTTTGGCTGTGCTAACCCGTGTAGTTCCAATTATCACCAAACCGTGCCACTTGTAGTGATATTCCACGATCCGTAAGTTCGATATGCTGTCGACTAGTCAAGCTTCTTGTTAACATAAGCAGGCCTGAGATCATGGGCTTGCCCCATCCAGTCACCAACAAGCTGGAAGCCCATAACTGCTGGCTGGTATGTGTCTGCGTCATAATATAGCACATGTACTGACAGTGGTAGGCTGATGTCATGAAGGACTACATTGGGTGGATCGTTAGCAAGGGGTATGCAGTCATCGATGTCAACATCCCTAAGCATGTGACAATTGATCCTGTGAGCTCAGTGGCCTCTCCAATTGTTGAATGAACACTGACCCATGCAGTCATCCGGTAAATATGAGGAAGAAGACGAGAATCGTCCCACGGCTACTGAGGAACTGGCGGGCTACCTGTGGGACAACTATATCGAGTTAGTGAGCCGAAACTACCAAAAGGCAGCCGGGGACTGACAATTGCAGACCAAGCGAGGCCACCGAAATTTTCTTCATGGGCGTAGGCAATGCTTTCTACGGAGTAGCCAACCTACTGATCAATCGAGGTGAGTAATTATAGTCGAGAATAGAGGCAGCAGCTGACGTGTGAACAGAAACATTGTATAAACGAGTGAACAGCGTTGTTTCCTTTGTTGCCGAGAACCCGGTTCGCGCCATAGCCTCACACACTCAGGTTTGGCTGTCGCGGTGGTACAAAGATGTAAGCTGCCTTACCCCCTTTTGTCCTGATATTCAATCATACTCACATGCCAATAGAACTCCCTTGTATTCGTCTCGCACACGCACGGCGTCTGGAACAACGTCGAAACCCGGCGCAAGCCATCCAAGCGCTACGGCCAACTCGTCCAGTCTCCCAAAGCCAGTCTGAGTGAGATGCTCATGCACCACAAGGAAGAGGTATACCAATGGATATCCGAGCGTGCGGATGTGCAGGATAGCGAGGAGACGGAAGATGAGAAGAAGCCCAAGTCGAAGAGCCGGTCCCCGACGAAGGAAAACCAGACGGAGCCCCGTTCGGTGCCGGGCTGAGCGGGTTATTAAGTGGATGTGCGAGCTGTAATTTTGTTTCTGTTGGATCTATGCATAGGTGGGAAGTTCGGTTTTGTCTTGGTGATCGTCTGCAATTGTACCTAGTAGAGACGCAGGGTACTCGTTGAGCATACTTCATAAGACATATTGCTGTCATTATTCACATATCCAACACTGATAATAGGGTAGCTCTATAATAGATTGTTAGTCTACCGGGCAGGGAGGACAGTGTCTCATCTCACCCAATGTAGTGTGAATTACCCGCATGGTACCACCCATAAACAGGCATCATCACCGATTTCGCATCCATTCACAAACTCCCTCATACAACATCTTCAACCCACGTAAGGCCCCCCATCAATATATTAACCCATTTCAACTCAATACAATGCTATCTCATCCCCTAGCCACTGCCCGCTGTAATACGAGCAACCTACATACAGTCTTGTTCTTCTGCCAAGGAAATCCCATCCGATCATCCGAACCTCCGCAACCGAACTGAGACATACATGAGTAGTTCAACCATGACTCCTCCACAGCCGAATCTCATGACTGGATGATTGTAACTTATACCCGATATCATACTGCTTATGTGCTTATGCACCTGAAAAATGAGAGTATAGAGTGGTTGGAGTAACCATAAGCGTCTGTCTCTCTCACAAATGTAACTCAAATGTCTCACGCACGAACCCCGCGGGGTAAGCCGCACAGTACTATCATCATACCTTCTTATTACTATGCATGTATTCGGGTGTATGTACGGACCAGACAGAACAGAAATATACATACCCAATTATAGCTGGGCAGATTGCTTGATTGCCGGTTTATCTATGTGGGACGCCTTAGATGTGGTGAGATGAGTTCCATTGGTTGGGTTTTAGTCGAGGTCAGTTGATTCATTGAGGAATGTTTGCTTCGGCTTGATTTGATTCGGTTCGATCGAGATCGAAGGTGGGTATTATTTTGGGATGGCACTATGCGCTGCTAATGTACTTGGCGATGGAGATGAAGAGGAGATGTGAGACATTATGACCTATGCCTATGCCATTGATCGAAATTGGGTGGGATGATGTAGTTTCTATATTCTCTTTTCGTAAGGATATGTTCAAAGACTAGAAAGGATAAATGGGGTATATAAAGCACCCTGACTCCCTTCCTCCAAGTTCTATCCAACCAGCCATCCTACAATCTACACATCCACACCAATCTACTACAATCAACAACCAAAATGCATCTCTCCACCAAGAGCCTCCTCTCTCTCCTCCCTCTTCTCCCCCTAGCATCTGCTGTCGGCTCCGCCATCGTGCAAAACAACTGCACCTCCCCCATTTACCTCTGGTCGGTTGGCGGCTCCGTCAATAGCATGCAAACCATCGACCCCGGATCCAGCTACAGCGAGACCTTCTACTACGATACAACCTCCGGCGGCGTTGCCCTGAAGATCACCACCACGGAGAATGGTCTGTACAACGGCTCTCCGCAGACGGATTACGCCTATACGCTGGACACATCCTCGGGTAATGTCTTCTATGATATTTCGGATGTCTTTGGGGATCCGTTCTCCGGCAGTGTCGTCAGCCTTGTCTCGAGTGATTCCAGCTGCGAGAGTATTTGTTGGGCTGGGGGAGTGCCGCCCGCTGGCAGTGTTGTGAGAAGTTGTCAGGATGAGGCGGATGAGGTGTTGACGGTTTGTGCGGATAGTTGCTAGGTTATTGGGTCGGGAAGGATTGATTTGTGGGAATTGAAGGGACAACTGGGTTGATTGGGGATTTAATGTTGTTGTTATTGTTGGGTTCTCTTATGGATTAATTGAGGGATGTCTGGTGAAGTGTGTCTGTGTTTAGATGTTGGTGACTGGACTGGGAAGATATGTGATGTGTTTATGAGGATATAGGAAGTATAAGCCTAATGCTACATTGCTTGTTGTATTGGACAGTGATCCCCTCTACGTTTGGGTATATATGTTCCAAATCTGGAGCAGTGACTATACGGTCTAGTCGTCAGTGAAGCATTGGTCTATTCCTGTGGCATTGCTTGCATGAGAGCCAATCATTGGATCGATGACCATGTGGTAGGGACTGGTGGCTGATTCACTACATGTATCATCGCGTATTTGTTAGTGTGTTCGCAGTTGTCGCGTGCATATGGTTGTAGTAGTATACAGGTGCTCGCCGTAATCGGCTAGCTGTACTCCACAGTGAGCGGAGACAATGCAATCTGGGTGAAGAAAACTAGATGAGCCACCACAATTAAGGCTACTTAGAAGAGCTTTTCCCAATACATCAGCATACAATATTACTAGGACCAGGTAAAATAAAAATTTAGACTCATTGATCCCGGACTGGACCGATCATTGGTGAAGCTGCACTGAACTTGTTAATGTCAAACTGCGGAGTTGCCGAGGTATATATAGTAGCAGAAATCGTACTACAGTAGTGCCCGGGTGAAGGGCAAGCAGTTGGCGTTGAAATTCAACAACTTGAAAGACCGAGGTTGAATCTTGACCATAAATAGATAACGAGCTATACAAATTAAAGAAACAGCAATTATTCACTAAGTAGCAACAGATAGTATACAAGGTGAACTACTCAAGCATCCCCACTGTTGACCGCCTTATCGCGGGGCCTCACCGCCTATGACTCCAAGCATCCATTGTGCATCGCCTCCCGCCGATGGCCACCGACAAGTCACTCTCCCTCCTTCGTGCCACAGGATATACTTCGACCATTGACCCGGTAATTGCCTCGCATTCCCCTTCACCTCTTCTTACGTGGCGTTTTGCTGACCCCATTCACTCTGCTCAGTTTTAAAACTGCTAATTTCAAATACGGGATCTCCCTACCCCTTTCACTTTTCACGCCGGCAACTTTCCAACACCGCCTGCGCCCCGAGCGGTGCTTCCCGGCAACCGATCCCTCCTTTCTCTCTGGATGCCTCCAAGGTCCCCTGCAACACGCCGCTTGTGGAACTCTCAAGTGCCTTTATATCTTCGCTCCCCAGCTTTTCGCGCGTTCTCCAAGTTAGGCGCCTCTGCGGCGATTGCCCCTCATTTTATTTACCCCTCGCCACGCTTCCCCACGCCGAACGAGCGCTGCTCCTCATTTCCTGCCCTGCGCTCGTCTCACGCTCTTGTCTCGCTTTCTCTCCCCTCTCGTGCTCGCTTTTTCTCTAATACCGCAACCATGGGATCTATCGAGCGCATCGCTGAGCAGTTGGAGAAGCCGGAGCTCGATGATCGCTCCTATCGTGTCATTCGCCTGCCGAACAAACTAGAGGCTCTTCTCGTACATGATCCAGACACGGACAAGGCTAGTGCGGCCGTCAATGTCAATGTCGGCAACTTTTCAGACGCAGACGACATGCCGGGCATGGCGCATGCGGTAGAACACCTGCTTTTTATGGGAACCCAGAAGGTAGGTGGTCGTCCCCTCTGAAACATTAGACCCCTTGCCCGCTTGGGTTTATGCGGCAAGATGTTAACCCTGTGTAGTATCCCAAGGAGAATGCCTACAATCAGTACCTAGCATCCCACTCCGGTTCCTCCAACGCCTATACTGCAGCCACCGAGACGAACTACTTCTTTGAGATCGGTGCCACACCTGCCTCTACCGAGGACACACCCAACGGCGCCAATGGAACCTCGAACGGCACAGACACACCCGCAAAGCCGAACTATCCCACGTCTCCACTGTACGGCGCTCTGGATCGCTTTGCGCAATTCTTCGTAGAGCCCCTTTTCCTCGAGTCGACCTTGGACCGCGAGCTGCGGGCAGTTGATTCGGAAAATAAGAAGAACCTGCAGAGCGACCTGTGGCGGTTGATGCAATTGAACAAGACTTTGTCCAACCCTGCCCACCCGTACCACCACTTTTCGACCGGGAACCTGCAGACTCTGAAAGAGGAGCCGCAAAAGCGGGGACTGGAGGTCCGACAGGAGTTTATCAAATTCTACCAGGCGCACTATTCGTCCAACATAATGAAACTGGTGGTACTGGGACGGGACCCTCTGGATGAAATGGAGCAGTGGGTGGGCGACTTGTTCAAACATGTGAAGAACCAAGATCTTCCCCAGAACCGCTGGGACCACGCTCAACCATGCCTGCCGGAGCATTTGGGCAAACAGATCTTCGCCAAGCCAGTCATGGACATGCGCTCGCTCGATATCTACTTCCCGTTCATGGATGAAGAATCGATGTTTGAATCCCAACCGAGCCGGTATCTTAGCCACCTGATCGGCCATGAAGGTCCAGGCAGCATCCTAGCCTACATCAAAGCGAAGGGTTGGGCAAACGGCTTGTCCGCAGGCGTGATGCCTGTCTGCCCGGGCTCCGCCTTCTTCACCATCTCCGTTCGGCTGACACCCGAGGGTCTGAAACAGTACCGCGAGGTCACCAAGGTGGTGTTTGAATACATTGGCATGATCAAGGAGCGGGAGCCCCAGCAGTGGATCTTCGATGAAATGAAGAACCTGGCTGAAGTCGAGTTCCGATTCAAGCAAAAGTCCCCGGCCAGTCGCTTCACGAGTCGCCTTAGCAGCGTGATGCAGAAGCCTTACCCCAGGGAATGGCTTCTCAGCGGCAGCCTCTTGCGGAAGTTCGAACCCGAGCTGGTCAAGAAGGCACTGTCATACCTGCGACCCGACAACTTCAGAATGGTCATTGTCGCCCAGGATTACCCTGGCGATTGGAACTGCCGTGAGAAATGGTACGGAACTGAGTATAAGGTCGAAGATATTCCGCAAGACTTCATGGACAGCATCCGCAAGGCTGTGGAAACCTCCCCCGAGAGCAGACTGTCTGAGCTCCACATGCCACACAAGAACGAGTTTGTTCCTACCAGGCTCTCGGTGGAGAAGAAGGAGGTGTCTGAGCCGGCCAAGACCCCCAAGCTGATCCGTCACGATGACCACGTCCGATTGTGGTACAAGAAGGACGATCGCTTTTGGGTCCCCAAGGCGACTGTTCATATCACTTTGAGGAATCCCTTGGTGTGGGCTACACCGGCAAACCTGGTCAAGGCCAAGTTCTACAGCGAGCTGGTCCGCGACGCTCTGAATGAGTACTCCTACGACGCTGAGCTTGCTGGTCTCGACTATTCGTTGTCTGCCAGCCTCTTCGGCCTTGATATCTCAGTTGGCGGATACAATGATAAGATGTCAGTTCTCCTTGAAAAGGTGCTTACGAGTATGCGGGACCTGGTCGTCAAACCGGATCGTTTCAACATCATCAAAGAGCGTATGACTCGGAATTACAAGAATGCGGAGTACCAGCAACCATTCTACCAGGTTGGCGACTACACTCGCTACTTGACTGCCGAAAGGACGTGGCTCAACGAGCAGTATGCCGCTGAGTTGGAACATATCGAGGCAGAGGACGTTTCATGCTTCTTCCCTCAAATTCTCCGTCAGAACCACATTGAAGTGCTGGCTCACGGTAACTTGTACAAGGAGGATGCGCTGCGCATGACCGACTTGGTGGAGTCGACTCTTCAGAGCCGTACTCTGCCTGAATCCCAGTGGTACGTTAGACGCAACATGATCCTTCCCCCGGGCGCCAATTATATCTACGAGCGCACCCTGAAGGATCCCGCCAACGTTAACCACTGCATTGAATACTATCTGTTCATCGGTAAGATTGACGACGATGCTCTGCGGGCCAAGCTGCTGCTCTTCGCTCAGATGACGGATGAACCTGCCTTTGACCAACTGCGAAGCAAGGAGCAGCTTGGTTATGTTGTTTGGAGTGGTGCCCGCTATTCTGCGACGACCATGGGCTACCGTGTGATCATCCAGAGTGAGCGCAATGCTCCTTATCTCGAGTCTCGCATCGATTCTTTCCTGACCGGTTTCGGAAAGTCTCTGCAGAATATGTCAGAGCAAGATTTTGAAAACCACAAGCGCAGTGTTGTCAACAAGCGACTGGAGAAGCTTAAGAACTTGAGTTCTGAGACCAATCGCTTCTGGTCGCACATCGGCTCAGAATACTTCGACTTTGTGCAGAACGAAAGCGATGCTGCGAACGTCCGGAAGTTGACCCAGGCCGATCTCATCCAGTTTTTCCAGCAGTTCGTCGATCCTACGTCCGCAACTCGGGCTAAGCTGGCGATTCACCTCAAAGCCCAGGCCGGTGCCCATGCGCATGCCACCAAGCCCGAGGAGCAGAAAGCTCAGCTGGTTTCACTCTTCGGCAAGCAGCTGGAGGCGGCTGGCTTCGCCGCGGACACGGAACGTTTGAGCGCCGCTTTTGAGAATGTCGACGTGTCGAGCGGCGACGAGGCTCAGATCCTGACCACTCTCAAGGCGTTCCTCGAATCTGGCCTGAGTCTTTCCGAGGAGCAGACGAAGCCCGTCATCGGGCAGGTCGAAAGCAACCTGGGCCTGCAGTTGAAGCAAGTGGGCATCGAGCCTAAGAAGAGTGATGGAACTGCCGTCCAGGCGAATGGCACGAATGGCGACATTCAGAAGTCTACCTACATCAACAATGTTCCCGAGTTCAAGGCTCGTCTGGCCGTTAGTGCTGGTCCCAGTCCGGTGACCGACCTTAGCGAATTCGAGGATTTTGACGCCAAGCTCTAAACTTCATGATTGTGTTGGATACTGGGGCGGAAGTGCGTCTCATCGATAGACATGATGTTGTATTGTTGGGTTTGCATAGTTGGCGTGGACTTGTTGCATGGGAGGGATGGGGCTGTGCTTGGGGTTAGGTTGTGATTTGAGTTAGATTTACCCTGATAAATGAGAATAGAATCAGCAAAGAATAAAATTCATATGATGATTCCAAGATATATTCTTCCAATGGTTGCTAGCTACATTGTACGGAGTAGAGTGATTATGGCGCGTGTCGGGGCGGTCGAATGTTTTCGCGGGAGGACCGCTCCGACGCCGAGCCCAGCTCCGCCATCATCGGCGATCCACCACCGAGAGCTCCAGCCGCTCTTGACTTCCCGACTATCCAGCATTCGAGTCCCCCAGCCTGTTTACTCGCTGCGCATTGGTTACCATCGCGTTCAACATGTCGACCACCACCGCGACGGCGATCCAAAGCTCGCGCCCGTACGTCCTGACATCGACCTACCTCACTACCGCTTCTCCACGCAATCACCACTGACCATGTCATGAATAATAGCCCCATCATCCCCAAAGACTTCTCCGCGCAACAACCCAAAACAATCCGCCTGTATCCCCTCTCCAACTACACATTCGGCACCAAGGAAACGCAACCGGAGGAGGACCCGTCCGTTTTGGCGCGTCTAAAACGTCTCGAGGAGCACTACGACCTACATGGCATGAGACGCACCTGCGAGGGCGTCCTCGTCTGCCACGAACACAACCATCCTCATGTGCTGATGCTGCAGATTGCCAACGCGTTTTTCAAGCTGTACGTTTGTATACCCTCTGCAATCTGGAGCTTCTACTTACCCTGGTGGATACAGCCCCGGTGACTACCTCCACTTCGAAGACGACGAAGTCGAAGGCTTCAAGAAACGCCTCAATGAACGTCTCGCCCCCGTCGGCTCCCAGTTCTCGGGCGAAGGCGTTAACGAAGACTGGGAGATTGGTGACACGTTGGCGCAATGGTGGAGGCCGAACTTTGAGACGTTCATGTACCCTTTCCTCCCGGGACATGTGACTCGGCCGAAGGAGTGCAAGAAGTTGTATTTCATCCAATTGCCGAAGAAGAGTAAGCCTTCCTTCATATATCATGCACAGTCAGGCCATCAGGGAGGAATGGTATGATTAATTTGTGTTGTGCAGAGGTCCTCTCGGTCCCGAAGAACATGAAACTCCTCGCCGTCCCACTCTTCGAACTATACGACAACACGGCCCGGTATGGCCCTCAGCTCTCGGCTATCCCGCACTTGCTGTCGAGATACAATTTTGAGTTTGTCGATGAGAACGACAACGTGGTTGCCGCGACGCCGGGCACGCCCTTGCCGGATCATCAGATCCCCCGGACGAAGGTGCTGGCTGGTGATAGCGGTGATGGACAGGATGAGGGGATGACGGATTACCCTTCTGGAGAGGGCGAAAACGGGGCTAGTGCGTAGTTTGGGGTTGGTCGTGTGCGTCCTGTGCTGTCCTGTCTTGAACCGAACCAGACTGGCAGGGACTATTATTCCGAGTATTCCCCGGCGAAGGATGGCAGTGATGAGACATTCGGCTGGATTGGATCGGACCCCTGCTGATCAGCTCGGGGAATTCTCCTATTCCGTGGGATTGATTCTTTTCTTTTTCTTTTCTATTCTATGCTATGCAAAAGACGTGATGTGTGTCTGGTTGGCGTTCCAGGAGCGAAGATTGCTTTTCTTACTATATTATTCCTTCTTCTATGTTCTTGAATTAGCTATGCAGGTAGCGGTCAATATATCCTTTAAGCAGATACCTTTACTCTTGCTATGGATATCATAATCCTAGAAGGTACATCCACCATAGACTACCTAGTCCCCGGCCACATCATGAAATATCACTGGTACATTATTCTCCGAGAACCACAGAACCACTCCATAGCACAGGCACATAATGGCACCTGCCCACACCCACACTCACGGCTCCTAGTACTAACCCCTCGTAGTCCCCAGTACTCCACAGGTACCTAATACACTTGTCCCACACCCTCACCAAGACCAACTAACCACCAAAGCTACTCGCAGATAGCAAGATAGTCACCTGCCACACCGCAACTCACTAACAAACGCAGATCACAAGCCTAAATATTCGAACCAAACCTGAAGAATCCTTTCCAACCAACACACACACGGTATGGGTTGGAAGGAAGGGAAAGAAAGTGGGGTTAAGCAAACTAACTAACAAACTCTGCAAGGTAGCAAACGCTACACTAACCAACCAAACTAGTTAAACTAATATTAATAATAATAATAAGAAGAAGAAGATGATGATGAAGGAGTCATCGTTCTCCCGTCCCCGGCTTATAGTACGGGATGCTAAGGCTGCACCCCGCAGCACGGGAAGCCCGGACGTTGGTGGTTTGCGGGTGGGTGACTGGATTAGACTAGGGGACTCGTAAGGCAGCGGACTAGTTAAATTAATTGACTAGTAGTCTGTGCTGGGCTGGGCTTATCTAGTACTGTGAAGTGCCGGGATGTGCCGGGTGAGTGAAGAGTTCATTAATGAATGATTGATTGATTTGCGGGGGTGGTAGGTGTAGCGTTAGGTAATGGAACCACTTCTTATAATTGTATTACTCTACTAACTGTAAATGTGTGTGTTTTATGGGGACAGGAGAAGTTAAGGTAGTATTGGGGGCGGGAAAAGGGGATGGTTGTCTAATTCAGTTTGTTTCAATAGTTTGTTGAGGTATTTTCTTGTCAAAGTTACTTGTTCAGATTATGGGCACGTGTACGTGCTTAGTTTTCATAGATTGTGTGTATGTGTGTGTGTGCGCGTGCGTGCTGACCCATCTATAGCATGTATCGCGGTCTGAATGTGTATAAGCGCTGCAAGTGATCGGCAAAGTGACAAGAAGTCTTTCTACGACCCACTAGTTATTTGCATGTCACGAACCACAACACCGCCAGTCACAGCGACAGCATGTGAAGAAGTCTCAGATTTCGTAACACTCTCCCGTCTACTGCTCTCCTACTTGATAGACTGACTTACCTCGGCCTGTGCACATGCCATGTCCCTATCCCAATCTACTGGTCCATGTGCAGACCACGCCTCCACGTTTCTCCGCCAGTAGATCCTTCAACACCGCTCATCCTCAGACAACATCTACTTTATTTGACTTTTCGGAGAAGACCATGCTTGTCTACGGCCAGCTATAGCATGCTATAGCAGTCCGTTAATCTCCACCGGGCTCCCGCTCCGAACGGAGATGGGGCCAAACTGCCACTCCAGTTGCGCAACGGACAGGCACCGAACCGGAACAAAGGATGCGGAAGAGGAGACATGGTGCCTGATTGCATGTGCTGGCTTCATCTGCTATCGTGAGGGTGCTGTGCTGGAGAAATTTGTTGTCTGACTTACCCCGCTTCTTGCTTTTTTTCCCCCTGATGCCCCTGATGGGGAATTGGGGTGGGTAATATGATACAGGTATAAAAGGGGGCTCGGAGGTGCAGTTGGATAGAAGCATTGTGTGTGCATTGCAGCAGTCCGTTGGTCTCACGTCTCTGGTTGCCTCGATTGTATATATACTGCAGGATGTTCTCTGGACGGTTTGGAGTGCTTTTGACGGCGCTCGCTGCGCTGAGTGCTGCGGCACCGACACCACTTGATGTGCGGAGTAGGTGTGCCTGATTTGAAGTGGCTGGATAGCACTGATGAAGGTTTTGAATAGGTGTCTCGACTTCCACGTTGGATGAGCTGCAATTGTTCTCGCAATGGTCTGCCGCAGCTTATTGCTCGAACAATATCGACTCGGACGACTCTAACGTGACATGCACGGCCGACGCCTGTCCATCAGTCGAGGAGGCGAGCACCAAGATGCTGCTGGAGTTTGACCTGTATGTTGCTCCAGTGAAATGGATAGAACACAGCTGATTGAATAGGACAAATAACTTTGGAGGCACAGCCGGTTTCCTGGCCGCGGACAACACCAACAAGCGGCTCGTGGTCGCCTTCCGAGGCAGTAGCACCATCAAGAACTGGATTGCTGATCTCGACTTCATCCTGCAAGATAACGATGACCTCTGTACTGGCTGCAAGGTTCACACTGGATTCTGGAAGGCATGGGAAGCCGCTGCAGACAATCTGACGAGCAAGATCAAGTCCGCGATGAGCACGTATTCGGGCTATACCCTCTACTTCACCGGGCACAGCTTGGGCGGCGCATTGGCTACACTGGGAGCAACGGTCTTGCGAAATGACGGTTATAGCGTTGAACTGGTGAGTGCTTCAGAGGGTGATCATTAAACAGCCGGTTCTGACAGTCAATAGTACACCTATGGATGTCCTCGAGTCGGAAACTATGCGCTGGCCGAGCACATCACCAGCCAGGGATCTGGAGCGAACTTCCGCGTTACACACTTGAACGACATCGTCCCCCGGTTGCCACCCATGGACTTTGGATTCAGCCAGCCAAGTCCAGAATACTGGATCACCAGTGGCACCGGAGCCAGTGTCACGGCGTCGGATATTGAACTCATCGAGGGAATCAATTCGACGGCGGGGAATGCAGGCGAAGCAACGGTGGACGTTTTGGCTCACTTGTGGTACTTTTTCGCAATTTCAGAGTGTCTGCTATAGCTGGACAGTCCGATGAAATAAGTGCGGAGAGAAAGTGTAAATAGTAATTAGTATATAATCAGGCAGAGAAGCAGTGGTGGTCAGAGAAGAAAGAGTGAGATCCCATTACGTAGCAGATAAACCACGTGTGGAGGCGCTGTTCCTCCACTTGCAGTTGCGGCCATCAATCATCTTCTTCTCCTTACTTTCGTCCACCATAACTCTCATCCTGCCAGCTGTCGCATCCCCGGGTTTCAACAACAGTCGCCTCCGGGCCCTCCGTGGTTCTCCTTTATTATTCCATCCGCCGGCCGACGTTTCACCCTCATCCTGCGCCGCCGCAATTCTCTCCGGATCGGTCAAGTCACTCGAACCGCCGCCCGCATCGACCTCACCGACCCGACCGTCTGCGATCGCCCATCCGTGCAGCCATGTTCCCTGCCCCGTCACTCTGATTTGACGCTCAATTGACTTCCGTGGCATACATACATCCAGCAGCATATGATCACAGCTCCCCCGCCTCGTGCCAGTCTCGCCGCCGCCGCCGTTGCCAGCCATGCTATTCTTCCGCGGCGGAGTTAACAGTCCGCGCCGGCGCAACCAAGAAAAAGCAATCTTCTGTACCATTCTTATCATCTACGCTCTATACTTCCTCTTCTTCGCTGGGAGCTCCGATCCCAAACGGTCCGAGACGTCTGCTGAGGATGCGGTGAAGGGAGGTCCGCATCGGGACTCGCGGTCGGGGAAGGCTTCCCCGTCCGCCTCGGCTTCGCGACAGCGTCAGGCCCTGGACAAGGATATGGTGGTGGCTAGTATGAAGGGAGATGATGTCTCATGGCTGTACACATATTTTCCCGAGTGGCATAAAAGCATCTACGTGGCGGACGACAAGAAAGCGCCGTTGACGGTGGCTTTGAATAAGGGGAGGGAGTCCATGGTGTATCTGACGTGAGTCTCCGTGTCTTGGCCTTGGCCTATCTGGGCACACTTCTCACTGCTACAGATATATAATTGATAATTACGACAACCTTCCCGACTCAGTCCTCTTCATCCATTCCCAAAGATACCAATGGCACAACGACGACCCTTACTACGATGGTGTGCCCGTTCTCCGCAATTTCCAGGTCCCGTATCTCCAGAAACAAGGGTATGTGAATCTGCGCTGCGCCTGGGTCCTGGGCTGCCCGGCGGAGATTCATCCCCTCAGCGATACGCATCGCAACGATGTCCACGCAGGGGAATACTTCAAGACTGGGTTCATGGAACTGTTCCCGGGGGCGGAGGTCCCTGAAGAAGTGGGGGTCTCATGTTGCGCGCAATTCGCCGTCACACGCTGGAAGATCCGCGAGCGGCCTAAGAGTGACTATGTGCGATATAGGAAATGGTTGACTGAGACGACGTTACCTGACGATCTCAGCGGACGGATAATGGAATACTCATGGCACAGTATGTCCCTAAATCCCACTTCAGCGCCAAGGGCAATTGACTAACAGTAACAGTGATTTTCGGCAAGGGCCCTGTGTACTGCCCGACAGCAGAAGAATGCTACTGCAAGGTATTTGGACTATGCAATTTGGATTGTCCGACTGAGGGAGATTGCGCTGGTCGCTATGTTCTCCCGCCATACTCCTCCCTTCCAAAGGGATGGCCGTATGTCGGCTGGAAGGGTCAGAAGCAGGACCCTAGCAAGGGACTCCCGGAGGCTTGATCGGATACCTACTATCTCATAGTTGAGAAGATTTGTTCGAGTATAAGATGTTGTGACTCGGGGTATACACTGCTCACTGAGATCAAGAAAAGGGACTCACTACAAGCATGATGAATGCTGTAGTAGAATCAGAGCGGCAGCACATCTGGCAAAACAGGTGAGCGCCAGCGGCAGCAGCCGTTCTATTCCCACTGGGAATTTCCTTTGAAACAGCCAGATCTCAACTCCTCTACCGCTGCCACACACAGTTCGGCACACCAAAAAAGGCATATGGCATATAACATAACATACTACTGGCATCTTCATGAGCGAATGCTGTCATTGACAACTCCTGATGTATTATAACAACACTATTTCCATTCCATGTGAAGTAATAACTACCACCAAAATATACTACTCCATCTCTCAGATCTTGCATTACATCCTATTATACTCAAAAAAAATATTGATCCCTCGCTCAACCCCTTATGCCTCAGGCATGTGATATTGCAAGGTTGCCTTATGCTCAGGCACGTATTACTATAACGGTCTAGATCGTCCATGGAATCAATTACCCGCCGATATCGAAGCCCATCAGATGCAGACGCATCCCCTAACAAGGCATAAGACCCATATAAACAGAGACGACGTCGTGAATTTCGAAGCTACAATGAACTTGATCGATAACTCGATATCTGCTTATCGTCAGAATACCCTTTTCCGGGACGTTAATCTGGTTCAATGGCTGAAACAAAATGACGGAATAACTAGCTAACCATAGTGAGTTACATGTAGACTATGATTCCATAGATATATGCCAAGGCTTGAGGAATAATGGAGCAGGACTGTGGGAATTTATTGCTTACTATTCACTACTAGTTAGTATATAGCACGGTTTCAGTATGGTTGTGTGTATAGTTAGATGGGAAGTTGGTGGTTGCTCTGTGTTGTGCCGTTCGATCTAGTAGATTGCATTAGAACAGATGTTGATAGGGACAGGATTATGATTGTGACCTCGTATAGCACAAAGGATATATGCAGGGTAGTGGATGATTCTACCCCGGCTGATACTAGGCGTTGGATGCGAGCTGCCTGAATGAGTGGGCTCAGGAGCAATTTGTATCCCACCGTCATCTATAAGTAAGGAAATGAAACAGCAACGCAGTCAGTTGTCCTAGGCTTTTGATGAGTTTTGAGCGAGTCTATGTCTACAAAAACCGGAACGGAAAAGAAACCACCCCTGACAAAGGAAAAAACTTTTATTATCTCGGCTCATGAGTAACAGTATACTCAACATCCTTCTTAATAATCATCTTCGTGCTCTCCGAACTAGCCACGCTATCCCCGTCCGTTCGACTACTGCCATCGTTTGCAGTAGTGCTGAGCATGCCACCGTATCGTTCGGGCACAAATGTAGGTTGGGAATGTCGGGGGTTGTTCATGCCGTGGCCCGCCTCTTCCTGATTATCCATTGACTGCAAAACGTAGCTCTGGGACTGCTTCGATACATCCCGAGCGTATTTGCCCGACTTGGATCTAGCGCTGCTGGTGCCAAGGGTGACTTCCCCTGCGTTGCCGTAGGTGACGCTGATGGCGCGCATGAAGGGGGCGAGGCAGAAGGAGGTGCACACGATGAGGGCGTAATTCATGCCCATTTGGGTCCAGACGTAGCCGTCGATTATGTCTAGTGTCGGGTTCATGGAGTAGGCATATTTTTGCAGATGGTAAAGATGTAGAGATGTGAATACGAGGAGACTAATGTAAGCACCGGGTTAGGTCTGTTGTGTTTGTGTAGGGCGGGACTGCTTACGGTAAACGAACAGCGAAAGAGGAAAGAACGACGAGTTTTCGAGTTGTTGGCATCTGCAGGCTTTTGACGAGAAGGACCGAGAAGAGGAAGAGCATGAGCTCAATGATGCTGTCCATTACACCGATGTATTCCCATTTTTGGAACTGGTGAGGTGCGGTCAGTGTAACTGCAAGGACGCGGAGCGATGGGCTTTATACCAATCCAGTACAGTGGTCAATGGGTCTTGCCCATGGTCTGTTCAATTCGCAGTTCACAAGGATGATCAGAACTGAAGACAGAACCCAACAGATGCTTAATCCCAGCACCCCGTAAAGGACGAAATGATGGATGCGTTGGGGAGTCAACCGTGAGAGCATCCCAAGCACACAGCACTTGGAGAGAAAGACCGTGATCAAGAACAAAGTATCTGTAGCAGCTGTTGTCTGCATGGATATAACCCCGGTTAAATTGTGCTCTCGTCCTGAATCCAAACAACGTACCCGCTGAACCTTCACGACCTGATCTGAAGAAAGAAGCCGGATAGACGTTCCGAATCCTTTGGCAGAGTTTGACATGACGAGTGAAGTTTGAATAATAGCGAAAGCCTATTGAAGACGCAGTGATTAGGATCGCATTTGTATTTGTATCACTGGAGATATAGGGTTAAAGCTTACCGTAGCAACGAATAATAGATAGTCATCTCGTCCAAACCCCGGACTCAGTATTGTTCTGACATACACGCGGATAATCAAGCAAATCAATGTCATTATCAGGGCCAAAGTCCCAACAACAATCACAATGCCGGCATGATGACTCTCGTCAATGACCACAAGGGGCTTCCCAGATGCCGTCATGACCCGAGCCACCCAGAGACGTCAGCAAGCGACCGTGAGTGGCCTATCGTCCCATGCACTCCCGAAATTCAAGAGATCGAATTAAGATCCCCTAATGTAGGGTCTCTCGAATATAAGGACCAGTACATAAATGAACATGCATGCAGGTTTTAGGTGCATTCCGAAGCGAACGCAATAAGACCATATCTTCGGGCTCAAGACCATGGTGGCAAGGTCAGTTAGGTTATCAAGGATCTGGCCCCAGTCTTCGAGGTTTGGTGAAATTGAGATCTATTATTGGCGGCAGTAATAGCACAAAGGGCTCAGCTAGAGCGTATGGAAGGATTTTTGGTCCAGATTCGGAAAGTGGCCAAAATGTGTTGAGAGGAACGAAGGGCGCTTTGTTCATTACGGCTGATGTTCGGAACCTAAAGCCCCTGTAGTGTTGCGAGTAACTAAATTCGACCCTATACAAATATAAGTTAATAACGGAACAGGAAGCACTTGCAGGGATGTATACTACCTTAGGATTTAGTATAATTGCAACACGCAATCACATCGCATCCGTCACAAACCATGGCAGACTAAGTACCCTTAGCTCGACTAGACTGCCACTACCCTGTGCTAGTGTTTAGACCGAGTGTTCCGTCGAGGCGAGCCGGACATGGTTCTTGGTGACCAGTGCAAATGGAAAACAGTAGCCTCGCGGAGATAACAGCTCACGAATCGCTATAAGATTGCAGCCTGGCTTTTAAAACATAGTATCGACTGGTGTGATACTAGACAGGAGCGGGCATCCTTCTGGATCCACCAAGGAGCGCTCCGGGGAATGTGTCCGCAGCGGCGCTTCCGTTGATCGCCGGGGAAGTTGCCCGGATCAGTTAGGGCTCGTGAAAAGAGCGCTGGTAAGCTCCCGGTGTTCCGGTGGGCCGCGGCGGGATCGTCTGGCGAACAAGATCCGGCCGGGCCATCGCCGCGATATATGAAATATATAGTTGGCTCCAGTAGTAATAAAATCCTGCCATTTGAGTTTCGTAGCATTATCAGTGGCTGAATTAAACCATATTGTAGAGAAAAAGATTTCGATATTAACCCCACTGTGGGTAGAGGCCCAAGGATTAAGATCCTGGCCGTCCGCTATACATGAATCGCCAGTTAACATAGGTTCGAAATCCGTTGCGCCGGCGAAAATGGTGCAGGCACTTCGGACACTGTTGCAGCCGATAGGCTGCGGTGGAGACCGCCAATGTAGACCTGTTATTGCGCTAGGATCATCGAAATGGCAAGAGGTGGCGTGTCCATGCAGCAGAAAAAATGACTCAATTGATGAACAGCCAAATCAAATTTCGCGCTTGACCAGGGCCACGGGCGGCACATAAGTTTTCCGCCCATACAACACATAGTAGATGATGGAAAAAATCAACATGCCACCATACATGAGCGAGCTCCAGTTCATGTTTTCGGGGTCCACAGTCGAGTAAAGGGGGAACATGACGAAAACGAACTCCGGGATGAGGAAAGCCAGGGCCCCGAGGTTTACCCAAAGTCCCCATCGGCCGAGTGACCACCTGTGTGGGGGCAACGGTTCCCCGCGAATTCTTTTCCATGAGACACAGGAAACAGTGACGATGTAGGAATTCAACAATGCTCCGACAGTTAGGGTGATCAAGGCGTCTAGGGCGACAGTCGAGCCGATGTTGATGAGCGATAGCAGCATCGTGAGCACGAGGGACACTAGAACAGCATTGAGGGGGATGTTCCAATTTGGGTTGACCTGCGTGCGCATCAGTATTTAGCATAGTAGAGCTGAAATCAAATAAAAGGTGGGAACCCTTACATGACCGAAAAAGGTAGCCAGTGGGACGCCCCCATCACGGGCGAATGACCAAAGTTGACGAGACGCAGTGGCGACCTCAGTGATGACACTGGCAATAAGCGACATGGTGACAATTGCAGTCATTGCGTTTGTAGCTGCGTAACTTTTGGTGGCATTGAAAAAGACCTGAATGAAAGGGTAACCAGTAGCGGAGTCGAGGACCTCATCTACATTACCCAAGGTGAAACACAAAGTGACCATAACAACAAAGGCCAGGACCCCGTTTAGGGAGCACGCTGCCATGATAGCCTTGGGAAGGGTTGTAGAAGCGTCTCGAACTTCCTCGGCTGTGTGCCGCATTAGCATTTCTAAATGATCGAGCCAGAGCTTTTACTCACACATGTGGACAGTACAGTCGTAGCCAATCATGGCAGTGATAGCAGTAATCAGACCGACCATCGTTGCGGTACCATTGCTATTCCAATCACCACCGTTCGTAAACTGGGTGAAAACCGTTTTCGCATCCTTGATGGGTGCCAGCACCCAAAGGGGTATAATCACAATGAAAAATCCGGCAACGTGGAGGATCAAGATGAAGGCTTCAACGAGAGGGAGCTTCTTGGCTAGGAAAGTGTTGAAAAGAACGGAGAAAAGGGTGATGGCAATTGTAATGAGAGTACCGTGCCACCGCTCAGAAACATAATCAGGGTAATTCAGGATAACCAGTCCTTGAATGATGGTACCTGCTAGGAAAGCAATTGACACAATCGCGCATTCCCAGCCTGTGGCACAGAGCCATCCTAGATGCGACCGGGCTTATTAGGCTCAGCCAATTTTCAGCGGGAAGCAACACCTACCAGTGATATAACTCAAGAACTTCTGGTACTTCCTAGGTGCAAACTCTGATACCCAATGGTATTGGCCACCAGCAGTGGGTGCCCTATGAATCGATCAGCTGGTGTATAATTTTAGGATGAAGTGCGTGCACTTACATGGAAGCCATTTCCGCCAGACTGGCGAACAGCAGCAACACTCCAACCGAAACAACGATGAAACCCCAGATAAATCCAGCCGTGCCACCATCAACCAGAGGCGAACTCATCATACTGCCCCAACCTTAATATCGAGGGCAAACCAGGGAGAACGTATGACTTACGTTAGCACGACTTCCCATGAAGCAATGAGGGTACATCCGAAGGCAACAATTGAGATGAACCTAAAATTTCTCTGAGGAGACCATTAGAAAGAGACTTTTTACCGAGCTGGCAGATAACGAACCCTGAGAACTTGTTCCTTTCCCAAAGCCTGCATATCCCTTTGGTCGGCCATAGTGCCGATATACTTCTGGGCGACATGACCTTTGGCAAGCCCTTGATCAGCGAATACAGTGGAAATATTATTTCCACCCTTGGTGGTTGTGAGTTCAACATTATCCGGCATTTCTTCGGTGTCCTCTGTCTCTCCTCTAGGTTTTGATTCTTGCAAAGAACAAACACGAATTTCAAGGCGAGGGACAAGTAGCTATATTTCAATCCAGTCCCTCAGGGCCCTGCGTCGTGCATCTGGATTAGCCAACCCACCATTTACTGACGAGTTCCCGGAAGGGAAACTCTGCCCTTCATCTCAGTCATCGACAGGGGGTAGCGGCGGCCTAGAAGCCACCAATGTGGATGAGAAGCCTCAGTAGCCAAATACAGCTGGCTCTAATTCAACTTGCGCTGGCTGCGATAAGAGGAGCTTCATCGAATCCTGGGTGTTCCACTATCAGGCTCGACCCACCTGGCGCTTTCAAGCTAAAGCGTTGGCGTGGGCTAAGTGGACTAGTGTTAATCTAACGCCCTCGGGGGAGAACCGCGCCATACCATCCCGCGTCGGTTGTAATAGTACTTCGTCCGGGTATAGACTTTTCTCCGACTGTTTCAGCCTTATTAAGCTTTCGGGTAAGAAGCCATGTCTCGGCGAAGTTGGGGATGTCGTTTTGAAAAGCTACGAGGACTGATCGGAGCCCGATCATTGCCTTACTACGACAGTATATCTTGTTAGCCGTTGCTTTCACTGGCGTCTGCCGCTCGGTAGATTAACGAGGGATCTCGAATATAGTGTACCATAGATAGTGTACCATAGACACTTAAGCCTTCCTTTCTTTCAGCAACAGTAAAACTTGGTGTTTGCGGATAGAGGATACTTAAGCAATGACAGCTCCTAAACGGCACAGTCTAGGCATTACTGTTCAGTTCGAAGGTCCCTAGAACCTGTAGTGGCAGCTATCGGGCCACTCAGTGGTATGTCTATTAGTCGAGGAAGCAAATCCAATGGACAAATAGAATCAAATAACCGTACATTCTCCCACGTGACCGTCAACAAGCGTCTCACCTGCCATGAATTACTAATCCCAACGACGTCATCGCTGTATTCCCCGCATCATCAACACTTCTATACAGCTTCCAGAAGATCCATCTGTCTTGAAAGTTGCCCTATTCGAACAGTTCGTGCTCCTGGAGGAAACAAAAATGGCGGAAACATATCCCATTGGTACACGCAAAGAATGCGAACGTCTAGTCAAGGACTGGGGCTTCAAGCATGTCTTTACTTGGGCGGACGGAAGGTGAGTAACAGGAAACCATGGTTGTCGTGCTATGTACCTCTTAGTATCCTGTTTCATATTATAATTTTCCGCTTAGCAATTATTGTAATTAAGTCCTTGTTGATGCTGATACTGTCCTAGCAATGCCCACTATCCACCACACTCCCATGGCGGTGTCACCACCCATCTAATACGGCAGGGGACTCTGGCAATCACCTACCCAGATGACAATGCTAAGTTGCATAATGGGGAGGTGAAAAAGGAGACGTTTGGGGTTGGTGCGAGACTGGATGTTCCAGCTGGCAAGTTACACGAGGTGTGGATTGGCGAGGATGGGTGCGAATATGTTATTGGTGAATAGGTAGGAGCGGATGTGGGTTACGGCTTGTCCCTTACGGATTATGATCACTTGAGCGATGTGTTGTATTATGAGTTTGCTCTATTGTCTAATCTATAGACATTAACTGGTATCTTGTACGGCGTCCAGCAAATTTTCCATATGTCCAATCCTTTTCATCTATGTTTTAGTTGTGAAATATAACAATCATTATTCGTGCTCATCTAGTGAGTAAATCGGAAATCAAGTCTGCAAGGCAATCAATTAGACATGTTACCAGTCAATCTTGCAGAAGGAAAACTCACCGCTTGTTTCCAAGGTCCTTATTGGCTGCCAGATATTCCTCCCTCTCTTCGCTGGACATGGCATTCCAACGGGCAGCGTTGTACCTAACAGCCTCATTAGCATTGTAGTCATGGTATCGGAGAATTCGGTGAGCCATACTTGTTGCGCCAGATGTAATAAAACTTGGCTCCAATGAACAAAGCCATGCTGAACACGGACAAGGCGATCAGAACCTTATTACCCACCCGGTAGTAAGGCTTGTCTTTTTCTTGGTAGATCTGCAAGGGGTGGTCAGAGATGAGTAATAATGCAAAGTTCGTGTTTCACTCACCTGACTGGCAATGATACTAGATGCTTGGACCATCATGTTGTATACTGCACTTGCAACAGTGCGTGTTCGGACCGATCCCGCGTTCCTAGACGTCATGGCCACAATGATTGCGTGGACGTAAGGCGCTCCAATCAACAGAGCATTGATAATCCACCGCGCCCATCCACTGGCTCCATCAGGCAGAACTTCGAGCGCGATGAGCAAGACCAAGCACCAAAATTCGCTGACAACACCGAGGAGTAGACGCTGGTTGAAGCGTTCTGAGATCCATGTCCAGAATAGTAGGTTGATGATGAAGATGACATATGCGGGGATGGTCAGGAGGTTCGTTTCGAAGGTGCCGAACCCAAGCGACTTCAACTCCAGGGTAATGTAGTTGGTAGCAGGTGTGTTGGGAATCATCCATGTCAGGCCAAGCAGATAGATGGGCCACATGTCGTAGTCGCACAGAGCATGCCAAAGCATCTTCGGCGTTACCGCCTGACGGTTGTGCATGCTTCCCTTGCTGGGATCGTCACGGAGCACCCGGTTGACTAGGATCTTCTCCTCGCGCTCGTTGAACCATCCGTCTTTGCCGCGGAAGCCGCCTTTGGTCTGTGTGGGAGATGCAGGCATCCAGAATGCGGCGATGATTCCGATGATTCCTGTGATGAGGCCCTCAAAAGCGAACAGATAGCGCCATCCTCCAGTATAACCGTTAGAACCGTGAATGTGGAGAAAACCGAAAGCCAGAAAAGCGCCAACGATAGATGTGGCTTCGTATGAAACCCAGAAGTAACTCAACCGTTGCGGCAATTCTTTAGATTTGTAGAAGAAGGACAGGAAAAGGATAGTGTCGGCAATGCTAGTCGTTGTTAGGATTGTTCCCCAAGTAGGAAGGTGTAGGAAGACTTACAATCCTCCCTCCAGGAGGCCGAGAAGCGCTCTGCAGGCGAAATATCCGGCTCTGTTCTTGAGAAAGGCCTGGAATGCTGCGACGAAACTCCAGGCGACCATTTGAATGGGAATCCAGCGGTCTGGGCCGACCTTCTTAGACAGTAACTGCGAAGGAAGCTCAGAAAAGAGGAAAGTGAGGTAGAAAATTGTCTGGCCGGTATTGTAATCGTTCGTGGTCATTCCGAGGTCCCCAAGCATGCTGTCCGAGTTTGCTTGAACAATATTGCCTCTGTCAAGCTGAAGTGCGAAAAACGTAACACATGCGAAGGTACAAACTCGGATGTCAATCTATTGCGCTTAGCTATTTTTCAACAGAAAGGCTTGGATGAATAGTAATTACCTTCCTAATCAGTTGTTTTTCTTCTTCTTCCGTCCATTCAAAGTATGGATCCCAGCGATGCGCGCTCTCATATTCGGGAATAGGCTTGTAAAACCTGGGGTCTTCCGTCGTATCAAATGCGCAGTCAGTCACCTTTGCGACTCTGTGTTCCGAGTCCGTCAGTGAGGATGATGATGCCGATGATGTCGAGACGTCAGGGTTCTTCTTGGTGTCCTCGTTCGCGGAGACCGTGTCCGCGGGGACTTCCTTGACGCCGTCTGTGGTCATCTCGCCTGTATAGCAAGGTGATGGGAGGCAGAATAACAGAGACGGACCGGCTTCGGGTGGTTGAGCTCAAGAATCAACAAGCGACTCAGGGGACATCGGGCCTTTTTGACGTGTCCAGCACCGGTAGACGACTGTCGAGACTCATCACGCAATTTTCTGTTAAAGTGTCAGCACGATGGACTAGTTGTTAGCACGAGAGCTGTGGGTAGCTATACGTAGCCAATTGTCGTATGAGTGGGTAAAGTTCAGGCAACCTAGAACGTTGAGCGCATCGATGTGCGACAAGAAATGGTTGGCGGCATGGGGGCCAACGTCAACTACGGCCGAGAAACTGCTTAAGGGCTGATATGCCTGATTCAATGGCCGCATAATCTGATATGGCTTTACTTTCCGAGGTGCTTGTTAGTGCTAGAGACTTGACCGATCTTGAGCAAAAGTCCCGGCAGGGGATGTAATCACGCAAGGGGAGCATAACTGACGTTATGAGGAACAAGTAAGGTTAACGGACAAGTGCCGGGACTGAGATTAGCGGCTGCTCCAGATCTCCGCAGCTGATGCAAAGGGTCCAATAATAGCTGGCAGTTTGTATCAGGTTCGCCAGACATGCGATGTCACCATCGCATTGGCTTATGATGATATGCTTGGGGCTTGACATCGCAACATTGTCTTTTCTGCTGATTGGCAAAGATACGCGGCTTATAGTGGGGGAATCTGATACGAATAGTGTTTTCATCAAGTTTTTGAAGATCAGGATGAGCATTTTGGAGGTGGTAGATGCGGCGGACATTTGACGATTCATCGCGACGAGATAACAGTACCAGTACCACCTCACAATCTACTACACAGCAGAGTCAGTAAAGAATATTACACAGATAATTTCGACCCAGTTCAAAACACATTAAGACTTTGTGGGATAAAGCCTTAGGCGGGGTATGAGGGTGGATTGTAAGTCGCCTTGCCGGCAAGCTTAATTGGGGCGAGTTGCGCGAAGCAACAGCACTATCACGCCATGCTTGGCCCGCTTGGTTAGCAGCAACCATTTTCTCTCCCCTCTTTCCCATGCACTTCATTGACTGCATTAAATGCAGCAACGACCTCGACGCGAAGAGTGCCAGAGCCCATGTTGGACTTAAGTGGAATTTAATGATTTATATCCGCAGATTATCCAAAAATAGTCAAGGGCATCTTTCCAGCCATTCACAAACTGTGCTGGGCTGCAGCCATGGCTCGGTTCGAAGTGAAACGATAATTGATAACCATAGCACTGACGTCTTAACTTTCTTGTATTATCATTGCACCATTGACATATCGGATCGGCGAGTCATGCTGGCTTACACTACTTTCCCGTGGCTCGCGTAACTACTTGTCCGAGTTCCAAGCATATCCGACTGCAGGCACCTCCTTGATACCTGACACCCGGAAAATGGCGTCAATCCATACCCCGCAGGAATTGCGTGACAAAAGACGGATATTCGGCATGGTGAGCAGAGTATATATGGGTGCAGGGTTCTGTGCAGGATGCATTCTGGAAATCACCACAAGAACAGCACAGCTGTCATAGTTGCACCTGCAGACATCTAACAATATGGCCCCATCTCTGGTTGAGGACACTCCTCTGTCGCTCCGGGCGGCACCTAAGTCCACGCTTAAGACCGATGCTGGTTTTAACAAGGAGAACGTGATTGGCTATGGGGAGGCCTACAAGCATGAGAACGAGCTCAAGGGCACTGAGAAGCAGCCGCCAGCTTCGTTTCCCAACTATCTTCCTGTCTGGGACAATGAAACAGAAAGGTAGCTTACACTACTCATATATTTATCTGGCTTCACTACTGACAGCTTAGATACCCTCCCCTCCAGCCCTTCGAACACTATGACCACGGAAAGGATGCCGATCCGACCTTCCCTGACCTCCTACCCAAGGACAAAGTCGAAGTAGATGACATTACACCTACCATTGGCACCGAGGTCCGCGGTGTCCAGCTGAGCCAGCTGAGCAAGGAAGGAAAAGACCAGCTGGCTTTGTACGTAGCTCAGCGGAAGGTTGTCGGTACGATCCCCCATCTGTAAGACGAGATGACCTTTCCATTAACAAACCCTACCAGCATTCCGCGACCAAGACTTCGCACATCTGCCTATCGAGAAAGCCCTAGAATTCGGCGGCTACTTCGGCAGACACCACATCCACCAGACCTCTGGAGCACCCAAGGGCTTCCCGGAGATCCACCTCGTGCACCGAGGTGCCGATGACAGGAGTGGAGCTGAATTCCTGTCCCAACGCACCAACACCATCACCTGGCACTCGGACGTGACCTTCGAAAAGCAGCCCCCTGGCACGACCTTCCTGTACATTCTGGACGGACCATCAAGCGGTGGTGACACTCTCTTCGCCGACATGGCACAGGCATACAGACGTCTATCGCCTGAGTTCCGTAAGAGACTGCACGGGCTGAAGGCAGTTCACTCTGGCATTGAGCAGGTCAACAACAGTCTGAACAAGGGGGGTATTGCTCGACGGGATCCAATTACTTCTGAGCATCCGATTGTCAGGACTCACCCAGTAAGTACCATACACTATACATCCTTCTTAGCTCGAAGCTAATTACATTATCTAGGTAACCGGAGAGAAAGCCCTCTTCGTGAACCCCCAATGTATGTACCACCATCACATCACCCTTATACTCTACATGAACACTAACAGAAACAGTCACTCGATACATCGTCGGCTACAAGAAAGAAGAGTCTGACTACCTTCTCAAGTTCCTCTACGACCACATTGCTCTCTCCCAGGATCTCCAAACTCGGGTCAGATGGCGTCCTGGAACTGTTGTCGTTTGGGACGTAAGTCTAGTCTCCCTACATACTCGACCAAGGATAGAAACCTAACGAATGCAGAACCGCGTTGTTACCCATTCTGCCCTCTTCGACTGGGAAGATGGTCAGAGACGCCACCATGCGAGAATCACCCCGCAGGCGGAAGCGCCGTATGAGACGCCGTACGAGGGTTAGCTGCATACGCTGACAATCTACGCTAATGAAGTGCACGATGGCAGCGGGACTGGCCTAGATATGATTTAAACTACAGAGCATGAATATACTAGGAGATCATTCTCAACTGGTGTGCAGTTGTTGTCCAGGACATTCCCCAATAGTAATAATCTCCTCGATTAAGCACATAGCAACACCACACTCATCGCCCCTCCCCTTTCAGTGATCTCACCACCCAGCATAACAATCTTATCGCGAAGCGACTCATAATAACCGCCTACTACCCAGAGAAAGCAGCAGATTTGGTAGACGCAGATACAGCATCCCCAGGCGGATGAATCCTAATAGCCGGTGCCATACAAGTCCCCGTCCCCGTCCCCGTTCCCTCACCCGCACCCATCACATCGTCCATATGAAACGCCTCTGACTCGGGATGCGTTTCAGGATCGAGAATCCTTTCGGGATGATTGTCTGCAGTAGACAGGTTATTTTTGTTGTGAGTAGTAGCGGGAGTAGTAGTTGTAGGATTAGTTGAATGAGATGGAGGAGGGACATGTTCGAGGTGTTCCCATGTAACGGTGTTGTTTTCGTCGGAGCTGGTGGAGAATGAGCGGGGAGGGTGGTGTGATTGGGATTGGGATGTTGTTGGTGGCATTGTTGATGACGGTGGTGGATGAATCAGTAACTAGTGGGTTTGATAAAGGGCAAGTTGTAGTACTGGTAGAGAGAGAGTGGTTCGATAGCGGTAGGTTTAGAGTGAGAGGGAGAGGGATTGAGTATCTATGAACTCAGGATTCGGTCAGTATAACATACATCTCCAACAACTAATAGAGTTATCTTACCTGCAACGAAGATATCACTAGGGTAGAGTGAGTTCAATTTACTTCAACTCTTCCTCCCGTAGAAAAAAGCCAATGTACTAATCTCTCCCTCTCTCCCTCCCTCTCTCCCTCCCTCTTTCTCGCCATTCACTACTCCCATCCGAAACAGGAAGGAACAAACACCCCCCCACTACCATACTTCATCCATTCATATAGATAGATAGATATACTATTGTTTCCTCTCAAACCTCCACAACAACCCAACCCTCCACTCCCGAAACACCCTCGCCGAAGCCGGCAACATCGCATTCCTCTCCTCCAACACCCCCACCAATTCCCTATACGCTTGCTCCCCCGGAAGCCTCACCTCCTCAATCGCCAACGACTGGTTTCCTTTCCCCACCTCCGGATGCAAGATCTCCTCGACATTATCAACATGCTGGTAAAAGACCTTCATTGCGAGTTGTGCAGCGGTGCTGTGGGATGCGCTGGTCGTGGAGTAGCGGAGGGAGGGGTTGAAGGGCCATATCTATTCATCTATTTTAGTATATAGATATATATATATATGTTGTAGGAAGGGACGGATAGGGGGAGTTTGGGGGGGGGGAGGGGGGAAGCTTACGAGTAGTCCATCTTTAGCTCCACAGTGGATGACGAATCTGCGGTAGCTTTCACGTTCAATGAGTTCGAGGAGTTGTGCGGTGAGGATTGTTTCCGGGGGGTGGGATTCCCAGGTCTCCTCTGGGGGGTTGTTGTCTTCGGAGGATGAGGTGGTGTTGGCGGACAGACTGGTTTTGAAGAGTCGGTAGCCGTTGGCGATGGGGTCGGGGAGGCCGAGTTGGGTGGTGCAGGTTGTGCAGGTTAGGATTGTTGGTTCTGTTTCTGTTTCTTTGTTTGGGTCTGGTTGTGTTGATGTTGAGTCTTTGGGAGGGACC